TGACGTTGGGGAAAGAGAGAGAGAGAGAGAGAGCTGTCTCTTATACACATCAGATGTGTATAAGAGACAGGCACATGCTTGACGTTGGGGAAAGAGAGAGAGAGAGAGAGAGCTGTCTCTTATACACATCAGATGTGTATAAGAGACAGGCACATGCTTGACGTTGGGGAAAGAGAGAGAGAGAGAGAGAGCTGTCTCTTATACACATCAGATGTGTATAAGAGACAGGCACATGCTTGACGTTGGGGAAAGAGAGAGAGAGAGAGAGAGCTGTCTCTTATACACATCAGATGTGTATAAGAGACAGGCACATGCTTGACGTTGGGGAAAGAGAGAGAGAGAGAGAGAGCTGTCTCTTATACACATCAGATGTGTATAAGAGACAGGCACATGCTTGACGTTGGGGAAAGAGAGAGAGAGAGAGAGAGCTGTCTCTTATACACATCAGATGTGTATAAGAGACAGGCACATGCTTGACGTTGGGGAAAGAGAGAGAGAGAGAGAGAGCTGTCTCTTATACACATCAGATGTGTATAAGAGACAGGCACATGCTTGACGTTGGGGAAAGAGAGAGAGAGAGAGAGAGCTGTCTCTTATACACATCAGATGTGTATAAGAGACAGGCACATGCTTGACGTTGGGGAAAGAGAGAGAGAGAGAGAGAGCTGTCTCTTATACACATCAGATGTGTATAAGAGACAGGCACATGCTTGACGTTGGGGAAAGAGAGAGAGAGAGAGAGAGCTGTCTCTTATACACATCAGATGTGTATAAGAGACAGGCACATGCTTGACGTTGGGGAAAGAGAGAGAGAGAGAGAGAGCTGTCTCTTATACACATCAGATGTGTATAAGAGACAGGCACATGCTTGACGTTGGGGAAAGAGAGAGAGAGAGAGAGAGAGAGAGAGAGAGAGAAGAGAGCGAGAGTAGGCTAGAGGAATTAAAAGCTAAGTCTCCCTCGCAAAAGCCCATGAAAATTGAGATAAGAACGCGGCCATATGTTCCTCCCTCGCTGCGTTTCTCCATCCCACTACATTTCTCTCTCTCTCTTTCTCTCTTTTCGCTCTCTTTTACCATGGAACAACACTCTCCCTCACTCTTTCGCACACAACAGCGTGATAGAGTGGGCCACGCCGGGTAAACTTGCCACGTGTTCGTGACAGAGATTCTCATCAGTCTCTCTGAGTCATCCGCGTCGTGCAATTACTCCATTAATTGTGACCATAAATCTTCAAGCGTAATTGATAACGATCCCGCAAGATTCTCGTTGCAGTACGCACTTGCACGCGTGTGAAGTGCAAACCTCTAGATCTCGGAAATTCAGGCACGGCCGCGAGTCTCAAGTTGAAGAACGCGAGCTGAATTCCCGACGACCTTGAAAATCCTTGAAAATCTTGATCGACCGAGTTTGGAGCATTTTTGATCCATTCCATGATCATACCGAGGAATTTAGAATTGATTCCCATTTACGGATATCTAGACTCTCTAGTATACCAAAAATATTAAAAATGTGGTACGAAAAATATTACAAGTGATACAAATAATAATAAAAACGATGGACACATTTTACAGGAACTTACACAAAACCATCATGATATCGTAACATGTGCTTGTAAAACGTTACATTTGAATTTTAAAAGTGTATACGAAAAGTACAGTGAATTGACCATAGTTCTATGAAACTTTTGTCTCGACAAAGAATGATATTTTAGGACAATTAACTATTAATTATCTTTCGTTTTGTCCCTATTTGTCTGCGTTCGCGAATACATGCAGATCGCTCTAATTGTACCCTTTTATCAGCTGACGCAAACTTGTCGGGGAATTTATTAAGCACGGCGATCAGTACGTGAATCACTCCGCACGAAATGTTCCCTTTTACTTTTCTAGCGTCTGTCATTTTTCTCGCGAGGTCCGCTGCGGTGACTCACATACAGGGTGTACGCTCCAATTAATTAATCTTAAGTATGTCTCCTCAATCCTTCACACTTTCGTATTTGAAAAACCTTCAGAAAGTATTTTTACAATAAAAATTCAAGATCGCGCAATAGTTAAACTTTATGTCTAGACGAACTTGCGCTGTGATCTACGAATTCATTTTGCAGAAGTTTTTCTGTAGAAGAAGAAATACAGGATCCTATCTGAGGAGAAAGTCAACTTTGAAATCATGGTGCAGAAATGTAACCCCTAAATATTAACTTTTTCAACATCGTATTCTGGCGCTTTTCTTTTCAAACTGACACAAAGAATAAAACAATATAAAAAGATAATAGTGTCTCTTTAACCAGTTACATAGCTGTTTTTGACGAGAATACTCGTCGTGAAGAAATGGCAATTGTATTGTGTCATGACGACTATACTCGTCCTGTGTAAAAATTTGCTGTTCAACGCTAGAACAACCCCCTTCTATTTTTCACTATAGGTAACATTATGGGATTTTGAACGACCTAAAATAAAATCTCAATAATTAAAATATTATTTATTATTTTCAAAATATAAGATACCAAAATATTTGGTAAACAAGCATTATCCCCGAAAATACAGTATGATTTAAAGGGGTAAGGAAAACCTCAATGTTATTAATTTATTGACACGTTCGCAGTAAATTAAAAATTTCGAGCTGGCGCCGGCAACCATCGGAGGTCGTTCCAGGGTTAAATTGCAATTTTAGTAAAAACCAAAATATATTTGCACATTTTAAGACGTCTTGGAGGTCAAGACGAAATAAAACGAACAAATAAAAAAATCACCGCTTAGTTCTTACGACACGTTTCGGGTACACTTTCTTCAAAGAGGTCGCAACAGCTAACTGGTTAAAAAAGGGAAACGGTGCAACTGCACTTTATTTGATAAACGGTAGAACAAAATCACCCTGCAAGTATTTGTTTACATCCGACCGAAACGGAGTTCTATCCAGCACACTTGTTTCGATTTTACGAGGAGTGCATTTTACGAGAACCACCCTGTATACACCGCGGCGGACCGAGAAACGGTATATAATTCGTTGTTTTTGCGGAGCGTCGAGTCTCGAACTCGACTCGACTGGATTCCGTGAGTCATAGCCCGTTTTCTCACGGAGCCACGGTAGAACGGAATAAACGGGAAGATCACGTGGCCCTTTATGCGACGGAGGACGAGCACGACCACCGCTGTGTGTGCCACGGAGTATAAAATTTGATTCTTCGAGTACCAAGATTGAGTTACAGAGTCATGAGGCGCGGGATAGAACTCTTGATCTTCGCAACACGAACTCCCCAAACGGCTCCCACAGGAGACCGTATTCTCGGAAGTCGGGTTCAAAAAGCCTGCTGTTGTGCGACGGTTAACATTCGAAAACTTGCGACAGAACGTCTCACCGCTCGAGACGTTTCGCTGTTGTATTCCCTAATGACACGGATTTCGACGCTGACTACCATTTGATTACACCTTGGCTAGTCTGCCAACGTAAATTCAATCCTTACAACAGTAACCAACACTGAGGTATACATACTTAGTTTCATCACAGATCTGTATTATGCGTTATAGTCTTGAATACTGACGATGGGAGAAGAAGCAGTATCTACTAATCCTTGTTATGAATTTACTCTAGAACCCTATATCCAGTTGGTCAAAATAACCGGTCTCATATTTATAATTTTAATTTTTATTTAGAAATCTATTACACAATTAAAATTTCTATTTAGAAATCTATTACAATTAAAAATTCTATTCGAAAATCTATTATAATAAAATAATCTATTTTAATTTAAATTGTTTTCTCTCTCTTTTTTTTAAACTCTACTATAATCAAATTTTTAAATTGCTGAAATTAAGAAGGCTTTTACTGAGATTGAATAAATTTGTAAATTGCTTACATCTGCTTTTAACATTCGGGAGTATTTAGAAACAGCCCTTAGCTAATCGGAATCATCCGACGATAACGATGAAATAACGAAATCATGAACAATTTCCGATTAAGGTAATTGATCTCTGTTATAATTAAAGATCCCCCGTTTTTTAATAGGCTTTATCGATTTCAGATTCACGGGTAGAAGCGCTCGCACGATACCCGAGGTTAGAAGTTCCACGACCCAAGCCCGTTGAACGCTTCTGGTTCAGTTAATCGATACAAAATCTGGATTAACAACTAATCCCGCGTCCATTACGCGCACAAAATAAACGACCGGCATTGCCATTGCATTCTACGCACAATATGAAACTGCAAATTCATCCGTTGACGCAAGAAGACACGTCGCTTTGAAACATTTCAAATCATATGCGATGGTACGAAATAAAAAACTTCACGAAACAATATATAATCTTTGCACGCGGAAATATTCTTTACAGCTTGTTGATCCATGAAAGATTCAATATAAAATACTTCTTGTATTGCTACAATTACACTGCGGATTTAATAAATTTATAAGTTAAAATAGGTAGATGAAATTTCAAACAATCAAGGTAAAAGAATTTGTAATAACATCCACGTATTATTTTCATCTCGAAGCAATTAACTCGGCGGGAGGCGCACTCCGTATTGTATCATGGCTTTGCGAGATTTTCTTTCATCTCCGTTATTTTTCCATTGAAGCGCAGTGTTTCAAAATGCAAACAGAATTAAAAATATATCCTAAAATCTTTATTAAACCTCTTTCAATCGTAACAGAAACTCGGTCTTCTTAATTTTACTTCGTTAACTCTAACGGTAAATTTTACCTACCAGCACCTCTCGCCGAGATAAAAAAAAAAGTTGTTGCAATCAATGAAAAACATTTTCATTTTGCATAAAGACCCCACGGACTAGTTGTAACAGAAGGAGTTGGTTTAAGTAGCAGTCTCCAGGTGGATCGCGCTGTGTAGGCTGGCCAGACGGGGGCATTTCTCAAAATATTTACGCAGGGAATACAGGCGATGCAAGCACTTGACGCGGCCATTGTTCCCATGAAAAGAGTAACGGGAGTAAGAAAAAAAAAAAAAAGAAAAAAAAGGGGAGAGGCGGGAAAAAATGTTGGAGCTTACCGACGTGGTGTCGCCATTCGCCTTTTCCCCGTCTAGTATCCTTTGCCTGAGGGCTAGCCTCTCGAGGCTCGCCAGTCTGTAGCTGCCGCCGACGTCGCGGTCTCTGTTCAATCGTTCGGCCGTGCCGCTGCCGTTGGAACCAGCATTGAAGCTGGACGTGTATTTCGGCAACGTCGGCGGCGGCACCTGACGCGGCTTCTCACGATTCAACATTGAGTTGCTGCTGTAGAGGAACGAAGAATTGTTCGACGTCGTTCTCGCCGTCGACGACACGCCGATCGTCGCCTTTATCCCGTTGCTCTGCGTGCCGGCCGTCCCGTTTTGATTTTCGGTCGACATTTCCAAACCGGTGTCACGTGACTACTCGAGGGCCAACACGATTCTCCGACCCTCACTACCTCTCTCTCTCCCTCGTCCTTCCTCGCCGCCGGGAGCGCAGCTTTCTTTCTCGATTCTATCACCAAGAACAGCGAACAACCAAACTGACAGCGAATCGTTAAAAACTCCTGTCCAACTCGACAGCCTCTCTTCTCCTTTCTCTATCAGCCTAACGAGCTAATTTATCGTTCCTTCGATTCAAGATTCGAGCAAAACACTACGGCAATGGCGGCGCACCCGATCACGTGATCTTATCACCCATCCCGCGACCAACTAAATTTTGTAGAAGCTGTTGATGAGCTCCTTCGTTCCAGTAAACGAGAATTAAATTATTAAATTATTCTATTTTCAAAGCGACGACAATATGCGACTGCCTTTTCAAAGTTGCAAATGCCTGACAGTTGATGGGAAGCTGACAGTTGGATCAGGTTTAAAAACTTTACCCTGTGCGATGTGTTTTATATAATTCTTGTTTAATTGCGGAGCGATATGGACGACAATCGAAAGTAACAAATTAAACTGCACGCCTCGGAGAATACTTGAACATCGGCGTCAAGTTGCTGACAAAGTCACGTGGCTCTGTTGTGTTTTGCTGTAACCTCAAGTTAGCCCTCTACTAGCCTACACTTTCAATGACTGTAGTACTCGTAGAACAGCGTGAAAACAATGTGTGCAAATTCAATGGCGCGAATCGAAGTAGAAACAATTGAGAAGGTTCTGAACGATATTTCTAGCTTTCCGTGCACCATTGATGCAACACGTTTGCGACATTTCCAATCAAGGCGCGACTGATTTTTCGAAGAAGAGAGGTTACACGATAAGGTTGCCCGCCCGTCGAATCTGATAAACGAGCCGGTGAATAATCGCGATCATGGACAACGTTAATAATCGACACCGGGAAAAGATAACCGCGTTTATATCCAGCGGATTTCGTGGAAGCGGCGGCACGCGGGGTAACGTAAGAAAAGAAACGGGCGTGTCTACCATAAAAGGTGTTCTTTCGCCGTAACGAACGGATATATGTCGCGCGATCGGCCCAGTCCGACTCTTGATGTTGGTTTCTGCGATCCTGTTGCTCGAGGAAGGTTCATTGAATGGTGAATCGCGACGAAGGTGGCGGTGCACAATGATCGATTTGAAATATTATCGTACGCGACAACGCCGTGAGGGCAGCCGAGCGCTTGCAGTGTCATTCACTTTCGACTGTGTGACGTACCAAAACAAAGAAAAGCAGAGAAAAGACTGATCCGTGGACGAAACAATGGACCGAGGAAAAGAGAAGAATAAGTGCGTGCTTTATCTGTCTCTCTCGAAAGGGAGAAAGTCCTACGAAACGACGGTGTCCGTCCGATGCGGCGATGGAAAGCCACAGTTTGCCCTTGGAAACGCCTTAACCGGCTAGGAACAACAGAAACTGTATCACGGTCATAGACTTCGTCGTCGTCTACGCCGCTATTATGAGTCGGGCAAACCCGCGGATCGAGCTTGATCTATGGATTGTAACGCGGCACACTCGGGACGACAGGACACGTCGGGCACGCGTGCACGGCTCACGTTCCCGGGGGTTAATCGTTCGGAAGAAAACAACGGGCAAATGTACTCACTGGTACGATACGCGCCTCTCGCGCGCGCCGTATCTGTCAGGTTCAAAGGAAAAGTTCACGAAGCGTGTGCATTCATGGACGCGAGACGGCAGGGTTGGAGAGCGAGAGGGAGTGGACGAAAAAGCGCAAAACAAGGGAGGAGAGAAAGAGAGAAAAGTCGCGCATCGGGTCGCGGCGAGTGCGTGGGCTCATGAACGCCGGCGCTGCTGGTGATTCACGCTGTCGGCAAACCGGCCGAACGTGGCCACGTTCACTCTCACTTTTCTGTGCATTGTTTCATTGTCGCGCGACCGAGTCTTCCGTGCCCACCGTAACGAAAATGCTTGCAAGCTACGGGGTTTTTCTTGGTCTCTTCCGGTATCACAGGAAAAACCCGAAGGAAAACAAGCCGGGGGTGGGGGTAACAAGTTAAACGACCTTTGGCAAACCACGCACACTGTACACCGGTGGGCGAGCGCGCGCGCGCCTCTCTTTCTCTCTCACATACACATGAAACACACGAGCAGCACAGAACACGCACACTAGCTCTGCCTCTCTCTCTCTTTCTCTCTCGCCAACAAAGTTCAGACAGGCGACGGCGGACCGATAAATACGACGCGCCCGACTCGGATATACTGCGGCCCCTAACGAACGACCACGCCTGACGCAGCCACCGGCTCTGGTGGGGGTAAATCCACTACAACGGCGTTGGTGCTCCTACGGCAAACCAACGAGGCTGCCTCTCTTCACTGCGCATGTGTTCCACGGAATTCTAACGACCAATCGCGGGCCGCCGTCGCGAGCAGCCTGCCGGATCACGGAACATATTGTCCTTTCTACACACGGCCGGTCTCTCGGCGAATCGTCGCTCTCCGAACCGCTTTCCCGCACTCGAAAACGGAGATGCATCTGCCGTGCAAATAACGCCGAACGGTTTTCCTTTCTTTTGTCTTCGATTCGCGAGACGTTTCGCAACCCAGCCGATTGATATGCTCGCCTAAGCGCATCCCTTTCCGATCCCTGGTACACGCAATTCTGTTTTTATCTACGGTCTAGAAAAATAAATTCAATTTTACTTTTTACAGGATTTCGCTGGTTTCATCACGGTTCAGAGTTATTTGATTGGAATTTTAAGGGCCGTCATTTTCTAGATATATTTCGAGCAGTACATACGCACGTTAAATGCTCTTAGCAACAAACACTGGAACTTCGATCCAAAAAGTTTGCTCTTAGCTCTTTGCGCAATACATAATAAATAAAAAAATGTCACACTTTCGAGAGTATAACGTGACATTGAGTTTGCAAGCGTGTGAACTATAACCATTTTTTTCTATTTTTCTATGTATCTACACAATGCCTCTTTTTTTAAACGGTATTTTACTACCGTACTCATTTACGTACCTATATTTTTAACAGAAATTTTGTTTAATTTCCGTATCCCTGCTTTTCTAATAAATTAATGCAATGTTGTAGCAATTTAAAAAGCATCGTTTAGAATATTTTACTCCGGGTTATACATGTTTTATTTCGACTATTATTTCGACGCCGTTAATAGTTCATTGTTTACGTAATAAATAAAACGAAAATATTGTCCAGTGTTTGGAACAAACGTGCTCGGAACATCGCTCTCATTTACCGGCCGTTTCTGCGACTACAGTGTAAAATAAAACTTCGCGGGACAACCATCGTGTCTGGTGGCGCTGCATACTAACTAGAGATTTTTTTCTCGCTTGATCGTTAACAAACCGAAACGGTACGCGCGAAGTGGATGTTGCAATTAAAAACACCTTGCACTTTTCAGTCAGACGAACTTTTCCCCTCATTATTTTCAGCTTGGCGAGCGAACATGAAAAAAGTACGGCGAATTAAATCATTCGGAAATAACAATAACGTTAATAGCGTCAAACAGTTCTGCATATGTTGGTAGGCAATATCGAACTATAAAAATAGAAGGCGAATTCCTCTTTGGAAATTAAATCAAAGGAAAAATCGATACGGGTAATGAAAGTGAGTTTCATTAAAAGAAGTATGTATATTAAGATTGTATAAATTAGTCTAATTTTCTCGGTAGAACTGTTCCAAGAGGATTCGAGGGTGCACCGTTTCGCGCGAACGAATAGGAAAGGAACGCACGATTCTGGAATCGCAACAATGGTCCAGCGTGGCATTCTTCGAACGAAATAGGAAAGAAAAAAACAGAAAACTGTTCGGAAAAGGGAAGCATCAAGGCGGCAGAAATAGCACGCGAGCAAATGCAGGTGGCGTTCGCGAACACAACGATACACGTAAGCTTAATAGTTCGATGCTCTTATTAGCTCGGAGTCCAATTAAGGCCAGAATGATACTCCATGCATTCTGCCGCGTACTTCCTAGTGTCGCGACGGAATACCAAGCAAGAGAACGTCGCCGACGACCGTTGACACCGTAAAAAAAATGAAGTCGCCGGAGGAGATGCGAATCGGCCTCGTTAAGGCAGTCCCCTCTACCAAGGACCCTCGAAAAGAACAAGCGTCCTTCCGCTCTGCAAGATATACCGAAACCTTCGCGAACAGTGATTTTCATTTCTCTCGTTTCTTTTCTCCCCGTTGTTCTCGCAGAATCAATGAATACAACGTCCGGCAACGTTAACCCAGTTCCACCGTTTGTTTTATCCTTCTCGATGCCCTCATAAGGTAAACGTCCTTATTCGCGACTACGTTCCTATCGACGTATTGAACACTATAAATAAATAAGCTTTACTTCAGTTATGAAATATTTTCACTTTACAATTTTCTACGTAGCTAAGAGGCGTAACAGAGACAGGCAGACTTGGATAAAAATATTCGAAAAAGCATTGTAAATAGTTCATGAAATTCCCTTGTTTCTATGAAATAATATTTCAAGATTTATTCGACGACATACAGATAAGTACACGTATTGAAAATAGCTATTCACGTTGTGATAAAACAAATTATTAATCGAAATAGTATTTTCTTAGGATGTACTACAAATAATGATTAGCAACAGTATTTCATGCGTACAATTTGTATTAAATTGTATGAAATCCTATTTCTTACCGTTGATATGTGTGAGAGAAAATAAGTACTTGCATTTCTTAATTGAAATATTTTTAGCCGGCTCTGCAAACGAATCAATAAAGAAGACACCGAGCAGAAATTATAATTTTCCTCGCAAACTCGTTTTACTAAACCAGATATGATCACAGTTTCATGTAATTAGTAAAAAACAGAAGAAGAGTCATTTGCCCTATTCGCGAGAAACGAGAACGAAAAACGGAGGAAATAGTTCCTCGAAAATGTGTTGAGATAAGGGTCGAACAGCTTCAGGCTTTGCATATCGAACTTCGCATCTGCAAGCACTAAAAATACAGATGCACCATAGATTCACGCCGCTCAGGTCATACGGTGCACTGCACTCGGCGGCAAAAATCATCTGCATTAGGTCGAGGGTAAACTCGAATAAGAGTCGATTGATAATTTATGAAATTTCCTTCATTTATGCGTTTGTATGCCACAGATAGATCTCGTGCATTTATATTAGCATGTCAGATGCGTCTACTTCGTGTCGTCTGAGAATGCAATAGAGAGACCAAATTTTGTATTTATCCCGCTGCGTACAGCAATAAATTCGGTCGTATACTTTATGGAATGATTTATGATCAGACGAAAGGAAGCTCAGGTTATCCCCACTGAAAGCAATTGCTGATGGATGTTGAATCATTGAATAATTTATGATATCACCGAGCACAGGCGAATGTGGTTCAGTGGTACATTCGCGATAAGAGCTCGCGACCATGCAAGGATACATATGTATATGTTCCAGTGATATGCAATAAGGGAAAAATGGATTCGTACAACGGTGACTTTTGTTCACGATTATAGTACCATTTGCGACACAAAGGCGCGATGGAAGCTACATATCAAATTACCCAACAATTTCTCTGTAACCAATGCATCGGTGATCCTTGCATAAATCTTTTATTTCGAGATTCGACGATCATCCTTTTCATATTATTGCATATTATTATCAAATTCATATCGTTGACAAATTGTGGAACTACTTTAGAGCTTCATTTTCTGGATTTGTTTATATTAACACTTAATCTACTTGTTGGTCAAAATGACCGGTTCCATATTTATAATTGAAATTTGTATTACAAATCTATTATAATTTAAATTTCTATTAAAAGAATCTATTATAATTAGAAATTAAAAATCTATTAGAATTAAAGAAAGAAAAAAATGGTAAAATTATAATTGGTGAATTTATAAAGTGCCCTTCGTAGGAATTAATTGAATAAATTTCTTAATTCAAGCACATATAATAAAAATCACAAGATANATATTTACAAAGCTACACATGTCAGACATCTTTAGTGCTCTATAAGTAGGTTTAGCGTTAATTAAAATTTGTGGTGTAAGGAATAAGTTGGTGCAGTTAGACTTTTTTTGTTCTTGCAAGTAAATTAAAACATATTTGAGAAAAATGGCGCGTTTAGCGATGTCTTCCTCGTTCCGAAAATTATTTGATCATTTTCCGACGTTTACAACCTTATAAAAAATATATTGTTCTGCTTTCGAGAATCCAAAAAATGGTCCCAATTAAAAGACACGTTTGTATAATTACTACTGTCAAGGCACGAAAAGCGCTTAAGTTTGAAAATGTAACAAAATGAAATTTTTAAATAATCGAAAGAAAACATTTCGTTTGTGGAATCTACATACTGGTTATCGCAATGCAGAAAAGAAAGTTGCCGACGAGAACAATTTTGAATCGCATTGTCTCTGATGGATAACTATCGTCGCTGGTTTGTAAGCAGAAGACAGTCGCAAACGAACACCTTTTTTGCTCCGGCTGTAGCTACCTGTTGAGAGAGACCGCGCTGTTGGCTATTGTATCTGGCGAGGATCGCCGGGTTCAAACGACGTCTCGTCGCCGTCGGCGCTGACATTTTAACGATCCTACCGTGGCTCCGGACGAATCGCTACCGTTTGCTTTATTAATTTCGTCAGTCTCGCCGGAATCACGTCCGATCATCGAGATACCGTCGCGAGTCTCGACACGTCCTCTGACGTCCGCAACCCTCTCGACCACTATGCATCGATGACCATGTTAACATTAGAACTACCAGACGAGTTAACCCGATCGATAACGACACATATCTTTTACAGAAACCATTAACTCTGAACCGATCGCACACCAGAGGCAGGCATTATTCGAATACAATTTTATTCGATTAATCTTTCGAATGAAATTTCATTCGACTAAATTTTTCCAAATAAAATTTTATTCCAATAATACAACGAATGAATTCTTTGAATAACATTTCGAATAAATTCTGCGAATAAAATGTTTATTCGTTGTTCGAATAAAATATGTCGAACTCTATCACATACCTAATTAGGGCAATTTTCTGTAAAATTAGCGTGATCCGAATCGTTAGGTGGTTCTAATGTCAAAATCCGATTAACAGCGAATATATCCAACACTTGCGAATTATATTTGCCAGAACTATCGCGCGATTCACGGAACACTAAAGTCTCAACTGTGTTTTATCTCGCGAGGATTGCACACCCGGAGTGATTATCGCTCTTATCATGCTCCCACTTTCCGGATGATCCTTCCGATGTTAAAAATTACAGTTTACGCGTTCGATACCTGAGTCAGCCTCGCGATCGCTCGTCGTAACCGTGAATCACGGTCACCGATCGTTTTCCAAGAATGCTGCGAAACTATTAAATGCGTCAGAAGCAATCGCCGAGGAGTCGATTATTCTTTAGTCTGTTCACTGGCCGCGACGAGTTAATTGTCCACTGTGCTCCTTACTGATCCTTCGTTTTTCTGTTTGGTGCTCAGCACACATTGTGACAAGTATATTCGTGCGTAAACATTTGCTGTTTGAATTGCAATTTTAACTAAAATATGTTCGTAAATTTTCAGATGTTCCGAACATTTGGAGGCCAAGACGAAATAAAATGAACAAATAAAAATATATAAATAATTATTATGAAAAAAAACTGTATATAGTATTTTGGTTAGGTAACATACTCGTCATCGCTTACTTTTTGCGACATATTTTAGGTACCAGAAAGCAAGTATTTTCTTTTCAAATATATTTTCCGTGATGAAATTGTATTCGTTAGGAAAAGATTTTCTAGTTATCCGCTATTTTCAACAATCTTTTTAACACTAAACCTTCATCCATGTCTCGGAGTAGCCAATGCCACCATTTTTAATTTTGTTGGACCCAAAAAATTTGTAAATGNAAATCACAAGATATCTAAATATGTGCAGTCTTGTAATATTTACAAAGCTACACATGTCAGACATCTTTAGTGCTCTATAAGTAGGTTTAGCGTTAATTAAAATTTGTGGTGTAAGGAATAAGTTGGTGCAGTTAGACTTTTTTTGTTCTTGCAAGTAAATTAAAACATATTTGAGAAAAATGGCGCGTTTAGCGATGTCTTCCTCGTTCCGAAAATTATTTGATCATTTTCCGACGTTTACAACCTTATAAAAAATATATTGTTCTGCTTTCGAGAATCCAAAAAATGGTCCCAATTAAAAGACACGTTTGTATAATTACTACTGTCAAGGCACGAAAAGCGCTTAAGTTTGAAAATGTAACAAAATGAAATTTTTAAATAATCGAAAGAAAACATTTCGTTTGTGGAATCTACATACTGGTTATCGCAATGCAGAAAAGAAAGTTGCCGACGAGAACAATTTTGAATCGCATTGTCTCTGATGGATAACTATCGTCGCTGGTTTGTAAGCAGAAGACAGTCGCAAACGAACACCTTTTTTGCTCCGGCTGTAGCTACCTGTTGAGAGAGACCGCGCTGTTGGCTATTGTATCTGGCGAGGATCGCCGGGTTCAAACGACGTCTCGTCGCCGTCGGCGCTGACATTTTAACGATCCTACCGTGGCTCCGGACGAATCGCTACCGTTTGCTTTATTAATTTCGTCAGTCTCGCCGGAATCACGTCCGATCATCGAGATACCGTCGCGAGTCTCGACACGTCCTCTGACGTCCGCAACCCTCTCGACCACTATGCATCGATGACCATGTTAACATTAGAACTACCAGACGAGTTAACCCGATCGATAACGACACATATCTTTTACAGAAACCATTAACTCTGAACCGATCGCACACCAGAGGCAGGCATTATTCGAATACAATTTTATTCGATTAATCTTTCGAATGAAATTTCATTCGACTAAATTTTTCCAAATAAAATTTTATTCCAATAATACAACGAATGAATTCTTTGAATAACATTTCGAATAAATTCTGCGAATAAAATGTTTATTCGTTGTTCGAATAAAATATGTCGAACTCTATCACATACCTAATTAGGGCAATTTTCTGTAAAATTAGCGTGATCCGAATCGTTAGGTGGTTCTAATGTCAAAATCCGATTAACAGCGAATATATCCAACACTTGCGAATTATATTTGCCAGAACTATCGCGCGATTCACGGAACACTAAAGTCTCAACTGTGTTTTATCTCGCGAGGATTGCACACCCGGAGTGATTATCGCTCTTATCATGCTCCCACTTTCCGGATGATCCTTCCGATGTTAAAAATTACAGTTTACGCGTTCGATACCTGAGTCAGCCTCGCGATCGCTCGTCGTAACCGTGAATCACGGTCACCGATCGTTTTCCAAGAATGCTGCGAAACTATTAAATGCGTCAGAAGCAATCGCCGAGGAGTCGATTATTCTTTAGTCTGTTC